CTGGAATATAGCCCTTCCTCATCTACATCTTTTGAAATTCTGTGTTTCATTAAAGACTCAGCTTAAGTGCTGTCTTTTACATGAAGGCTTTTCTCTTAACTATCTGATGTGAATGTGTATATGTACCCATACATAAAATATATCTACACATATGTATATATACATATGGACATATAGAATCTTATTTGTAACAATATGTTATGTGTGTATATTAAACACAATACATGTAAATTCATATGTACACGTATATATGTAAACACATGGATATTTATACAAATACATCTTTTCTCTCCCATTCCAATGTTGACTCCATTAGGGCAGGTATTGTTTCACTTTTATCTTGTCTCCCAAAGAACACAGTTCTCTGCACGTAGTAAATGCTTAATAAATGCTTGCTGATTGATTCCCCTTTTGCCCATCTTCCATACTAGCACATAGCTAGTTGTTCCCTATCATTTATTTTTATATGATGTTTTTGCTTGCTAAAAACAGAGCTCTAAACTTGCTTAGACTCAACTTTATTCTATTTATTACTAATAACTTATCCAATTTATTCTGGCTATTTTGAATTCTTAACATGTCCTCTGCTGAGGTGCATCATCACCTCTCCCAACTTGATCTCGTGTATGAACATAACGAGCAAACTCTCTTGTTCATCACCTAATTATTAGTAAAGATTTTAAGGACTCCTGTATTTTGCTCACACACTCAATCAAGTTATTTCATTCCAATCAGTGCATTGGTCTGTGGGAAAATCCTTCAAATGATTGGATGTCCAGAGATATGTATAAAAGTCATTCACTTGTGCTGAGGGTCTGACGGTACAGGCAAGGGAGATATCGAGTGTACTTACTGTGACTAATGGCATCAAATGAGGCCAAGTTCTTGCCTTGTTGGTGTTTACGACTTTCTCTGAGCCCCCTTGAAAGACTGTGCTTCAATGATTAACTTTGAGTTTAGGTCATATGAGAATGTGTTCTGTCTGCCACGCTCTGATAGCTTAAGCAAAATATTAATGGGCGTTATTCAAGACCTTCTATATGCTGATTATAGGACTGTGCGCTTGTGACACTTAATCAGAAAGATGCAAAATAATTGAGAGATGTTTGCCAATTTGTTCTTGTTCTGGTGGGGCTGTCAGGACTCTCATCTGTGCTGCTGTGCCTGTGCTGCCTGGATGGTTAAGACCTACTACCTGTTGGCTGTCTCAGTGACTTCCACTGAATGTCACGGATAGCTCTTACTCTCTTGGGAATGACCTCTCTTTTCTCATTAGAAAGACATAGACTTGATAAAAAAAAAATGGCCAACTGGTGACTATTGATGCCATTGGCAGCTGCTTCACAGAAGAGTTGAGATGAATCTTTCTGTGATGCTGAATTCTGGAGTAGAGGACAGAAAACCTCTGGAAAGGCACAAAGATGAGAGATGGAATGTTGTGTATAAAGAGCACCAAGTGGCATAGTTTGTCTGGAACTTAGCACACATGAAGAGGAGTAGACTGGAAAGATAGGCTGGGGCCAGACTGTGAATATTCAAACAAAGAAATTTATATTTTATCCTAGAGGCATTATAGAGTTATTGGAGCTCTTTGACTTTTACATACTTCAGCAATATTGTTTTGACGTCTGTATGAGGGATTGATTAGAGAACAGAGTCTTGAGGCAGCAGTGTTTCAGGTAAATGTTTATAAGGGCTTGAACTAGGGTGGTGGTGGTATAAGTGGAGAGAAGGTAATGAATGTAAGGGATATTATGGAGGTAAAATTGCAAGATGACCATTTTTTTTAATATGGCAGTTGAGGGAAATTAAAGTGATAGAGATGACTAAAGATGGAAACTTGGGCAATTAGAAGGATAATGGTATCCTTTGCAGAAATAGAGAAGTTGGGAAGGAGGATTTTCCCCAGGAGGGAGAGAATGAGTTATATGTTAGACATACTGAGTTTGATATGCTTATGGAACATCTAGTTAGAAATGCCCAATGTACAGTCAGTGATTAAACACTAGAGCTCAGGAGACAGAGCAAGATTAGATATAGGAATACAATAATTATCTATCTATATTAAGACAATAATTCAACCATGGGATCTTATGAGGTCCTCAAGAAAGCTGGTATAGACAGAAAAGAACCAGGACAGAGTGTTGGGTTATATCCACAGCTGGAGGACAGGACATGAGTGATGATACTGCAAAGGAGATTGAGAAGGTACATCAAACAAGTAGGAGAACCAAGAGAGAACAGTATCATGAAACCCCAGAGAGGAGAGAATATCCAGGAACAGAGAATAGTCAATGAGTGCCAAAGGCTGCAGAGAGGTCAAGAAGGATGACTGAGCAAAGCCATTGGATTTGGCAATTAAGGGTCACTGGTAACTTCAGAGAGAACAATTTTGGTTGAGTGATAAGGTCAGACGTCAGATTGGCATTCCCCAACCTGTTGCTAAACCTTTCTACAGATGATATTTTCTGATATATTTGATGAAGTTAAGACACAGAATCCAGAGTCTTGTGAAACTCAAAACATATTACATTGATTGATTCCACATCACCTACAAACCAGCCAATCTTTTTTGGAAGAAAATTAGACTGCCCTGACAAAACGTGTACTTCAAAATGTACTACTTGGCAATCTTCTAAATAGTCTGACATCTTCCAGTGTTTTTACAGGTATCCAAGTTTAAATGAAAGGTTTATATAATACCTGTGGTCACCCAGGGATGTGTAATTTCTAGCTTGCCTTCTACTATATCCTTTAACTACTTATGCCTGCTTTGTATGTATGAAATCAAGACGGTCACTCATCTTCCTTAGCTGCAAATGCATGATTTCATGCTTACCAGGAATAGTCTTGTCCAAAATTACCATTAGCCTCTAAAAATATCACTTCTACTACTATATATCTGACCAAATGAGATAATAAGGCCTTTCCTGATTCTCCTAACTACTAGTACCCTCTGAAATTACTTTGATTTTACTTTGAATTTGTAACAAGTTCGTGTGTGTGTGTGTGTGTGTACATGTGTAAACAGTTATTCCTTGTTTGTTTTGTCAGGCAAGTTGTATAAGCAGTAGAATTGGGGTTTGAACTCACAAATTTTGAGTTTTGAATATAGGATGCTTACCATTATGTCATAGTGCCTCATTCATCATTTATTTGTTGAGCCCAAGATACTCTACTTTGAGGATACAAAAAGGCTTAGAATATGGTCCTTACCTTCACGGAGCTTTCAATCTCATTAGGAGAGAAGATAAATGACACACTACAAAGTAATGACATATGGCAACATAAGTGGTCTATAGCAGTTAGCACAAAATTCAAAGGATTGGAACTCAATAAGTTTAAAACAGTTGGAGTAGGCCTTACAGTAGAAGATTTGAGCTAGGCCTTTCAGGAAGGGTAGAACCTAGATAAATAGAAAGGGGTGTTTCAAAAAGGAAAGAGGATAGAGGGGGACATGAATACAATGTATATATGGAGATATCTGGTACCCAGACCTTTTCTCTGAAACAGTTTTTTTAAGGTTGATCGTTCCTCCTCCAGTCAACCAGCCAACAAGCATTTATTAAGGGATTAGGATATGGTAGGCACTGTGCTAACCACTAAGGATACAAAGAAAGGCAAAAACAATATCTACTCTTCAGGAGAACCTCACTTTCTAATGGGGGAGATGTATAAACAATTAGACACATGTGAAAAATGGAGAATGGAAATGGAAGGTAATCTCTCTGAGGGAGGGTATGGAGGGGGCTGAGAAAGGCTTCATGCAGAAGTTAGGATTATAGCTGAGACTTGAGGGAAGCCAGGGGAGGAGAAAGAGATGAGGAGGGAGAATATTCTACACAAGGGGGATGTCCAAGGGAAATGCATGTAATTGGGAGATAGAGTATTGTGTGCAATGAATGATGTTTAACCAAATCTCATTATCTTTTCATAGACTCAAAATTGTAAAGAGCTTTAGAAACTGCTAGAATAGACCTTGGCCTATATATGAATCATTTCTATGACATCCCTGACAAACGGTCCAGCCTTTGACAGTCTTTATCTATCTTGCCCTTTCTTCTGTGCTTGATATTTTACATAGGTGATTTTCCTCCTTGGTCCTTTGGCTTCCATGACATCCTTTTCTGCCTAACTCGCTGAACTCATTGCCTCCTAACTGGAGCCTCTTCTTTCTGTTTCTTAATTTCTACTAAGGCTCTTTCCCCCCATCTCTGTTTTTCTTCCTCCAAATTAACTCCTTCAGAGATCTCATATGATATGAGATATCTCATATATAAGATATCAGATACCTACCATCAACTGTTAGCTGTGTGTTACCAACTTTTTAACTCAACTTCATTCCCTCCACCATGTCTCCACTTTTGTATCCATCACTTCAAGTTCAGCATGTCCAAGACTAGATTCATCAGTTTTACTGCAAAATCATTTCCCCTTCCCAGCTTCCTGTTTTCTGTAATCCCCTTCTCTGGCATCAGCAATTTATCAGTTCCTGAAATGGCAAAAAAATAAAATAAAATAAAGAGGCACTATCATGTTTAAAGTATGCTTTAAAAAAAAACCCATGGGTATATCTGAAAAATGAACCAGCAACAGTCCATAAAAATATTTCCGAGTCTACAATGCTTTTTCTTCCCTGCTTTATAGGGTCATAAGAAAGGTGTACCTGAAAGGTAGTTTGGTGCTATGGAGAGAACAATGCCTCATGGTGGTATCAATAGGCCAAAAGGTATGCACAGTTTAGTGACTTTTTGGGTACAGTTGAAAAGTGCTTTTCAGATGTATTTACCAATTTACAGCTCTACCAACAATGCATTAGCATGTACAGTGGTTTTTATTTTTTTTGTTTGTTTGTTTTTCTTGCTATCCCCAGACTGACTTCATTTAGTTTTGTCCTCATTTCATTTAGGGTTTCAGGACTACTGACGTGCAGTTGACTTGCAGAATCAACTTAAAAAACAACTTGATTGTTTTTAATCTTATCTCTTTTTTTCTTTCAGTTTTCCAAAGAAGTTAGACCTGTTTCTTGGTGAAGAGAAGGCAAAGTGCTTTTTCCATAAGGTCAGTTTTCATGTAAACCTTACAGCTTTTTTTTTAAAACTTCACAGGAAATGTTTGTTCAGATACAATTCCACAAAAAAAAAGTTCTTTTTAATAATGCTTTCTAGCTGAGTTGCTTGAGTAGGTTTTTTTCCCTGTACTTTTGCCTTCAGTATCTAGACCTATAGGTGACAAAATGTATTTTTAGCTCCTGATTCCTCACTATCAGAAGTTCTCACAGAAGCAGGATTTTGTCCTTAATGGTTAGATTTTTGTGCTGTTTTTTGCTGTCCATATGTTTCATTGTTAATTGGCATCATTGTTGCCATCATTCTAGAATCATAGACTCTTTGGTTAAAAGGGAACTTTAAGGTCAGGTAATTGGCCAGTAGAACTAATTGCCTCTAGAACAATCCCAGACAAGTGATTATCCAGCATTTGCTGGTATACTTCCAGAAATGGAAAATTCACTAACTCTGATAGCAGCCCATTCCATTTTTGGATAGCTCTAATTGTTCATAAGTTCTTAGCCAAAATCTGCCTCCTTATAACTTCCCATTAGTCCTACTTCTACCATCTGGAACCATACAAAATAGTGGCTATTTAACATAGTTCCTTATGCAATACAGATGAAACAGTCTGTTCTGTCTTGCTTCAGTAGCCCCTTATTGTCCTTTGGTCCTTTCTGTTCATCGTCTTCATCTTTTACACTTCCTCTTTCCAGAAGACAGTCCTTCAGATATGTGATAACTGTCACATGCTCCCTAGTGAGGTTTGCTCCAGACTATGCATCCTCAGATTCTTAAATTGTTCCTCAAATGATATCATTGTGAGTCTCAAATACTACTTGATTCTACTTGTCAGCGCCCTTCCTAAATGTGGTATCCAGAACAGAAGCTGTTCAGGGGACGGTACAAGACAACATTTCTCTGATTCCAGACTGTTCCTCAACACATCACATTGGTGGCTCATCTTGAGCCCTCAGTCCATTAAGTCCACAACCCGTACAGCCTGACAATTCTGTTTGGGGAAGTGAGGTGATTTACAGTATGTAAATAGATAGGAATATGTATGATCATTAGAGGAGAGAGAGCAATAATGAGAGGCATTTAGAAAGGCTTCACATCAGAGCTGGTGCATGAGTTCAACCTTTTAAAGATACAAAGGTGAGAAAAGAATAAATTTCAGGTATGGAGGAATAGCTTGTGCCAGGACATGGAAGCAAAGAATGGAAGGTTGAGTTCAGGAAATAGTAAGAAGGCCATAGTGGTTAGAATGTAAACCTGAAAAGGTGGGCTACAGATAGACTGTGAACAGCTTTAAGTGTTAATCTGAGGCTCCTGTATTTTATCCTAGTGATAAAGTAGCGAGCCACTGAAGATCCTTGAGTAGAGGAGTAACATGGTCAGACTTGTGTTTTAGGAAGATTATTTTGGCAGCTGTGTGGAGGATGGATTAGAGAAGTGAGAGGCTGTAAGCCAGCTTCCTGTTGTAGTCCTCAGCACAAGAAGCAATGAGGGACTGGACTAGGATGGTAACCACATGAGTGAAGAGAAAACGACTGATGTTATGAATGTCGTGGCAGTAGAGTTGACAAGAGCTGGCAATTAAATGAATATGGAAAACAAAGGGAAGAAGTCAAGGAAAATGCCAAGCTTGTAAACCTCTGAAGCATGGAAATCATTTGAAGGAGAGAAGTGTTTTTAAACAAATACATAAGTTAACAGATAGATGAATGAGTAAATATGTGTGTTTTATGTTTACGATGAGTTTTTAATTCCTGTTTGAACACGTTAAGTTTAAAATACCTTTGTGATAGCTTTTTAGAGATATTCAACATCTAGTTGATGAAGTGAAACTAGAGAGCAGGTGAGAGATTTGGGCTGGAAGTGGTGATCTGATAATCACTGCCACAGAGCTAATTAAATCCATGGGAGTTCATAAGACCAAGACAAAAGAGAGAAGAGAATAGAGTGTAAGGAGAACAGAGCTAGAACAAGACAGATCCTGGGGATGGATATATATATACACATATATACATGTACATGCATACATATATATGTGTATACCCATGATTAAGAGGTGGGGCATGCATGATAATTTTACAAAAGAGCCTGAGAAATAGACATAAAGGTAGGAAGAGAACCAGAAGACAGAAGTATCATGAAAACCCAGGGATGAAGATTAGGTCTCTTGTGGAAGGATGAAATTCATAGTATAGATAGTGTGAGGGAATGGTAGAAACAAAGTAAAAGAGGTCAGTAGTCAGTAAACATTTATTAAGCACCTAGGTACCATGTTAGATGCTGGGATACAAAGAAAGGGAAAAGATAGTCCCTGTCCTCAAGGAGCTCACAATTCAAAGGGGGAAAATAATGTGCATAAAAAGCAACTGAAAATGGGCAGTGACTTGGCACAGGGACATAATGAGGTCTTACATCCAGAGTGGAAATGATGAGCTCTTGCTTTTTACTTAAATGGTAGAGGATCTGGGATGTATAGGGTGTTCAGGGAGGACTAGCTCCTCTGGTGTGAGAGCTTGTGAACTCTTCTCAGGGTTGCTCATCCACCTTTGGCGTCCACCTTCACCCAGCTCTCACCTGTGGCTCCGAGAAACTGTAGCATGCACAGCAGCCGTACCCTGGTAAATTGTCTCAGTAGCTGGGCTAAACCAGGGTGAGAGTAATGCATAGAGCTTAAACCTATTGGTGAGGTAGGGGGATGTCTATCCCAAGCATGTGAAGGCGTACCCCAGCAGAATGGGTAGATGTGAATCGTTTGTTCCCTTTGCCATGAAGGTGGCTAAACCAGGCACTATGGGGCGTTTAGAGCTTGGTCAGACCTCAAAGACTTCAAGATCATACATTACACTCCAGTACATCACCAGTAGTCTTGACTTTGGGCCTGCCAGTGGACTTGAATGACTCTGGAAGAGAGAGTGAGACTGAAGACTTTGTGCAACTCTGCCTCACTTAAAGCCAGTTCACACACAAGTCAAGATGTCACCCCGTGATGTTATTGGTCCTCTTGAAAAGGAAGGACAAACAATAACAGAGGATATGGGAGGAGCCCCCCAATGGAGGAGCTCTCTAGTGGCCACCTCCCACCCTCTCTAATTAGAAAAAGGGAGATCCACAGGGGCAGGAGGTAGTGAGGAGGTGTGTTTCAGAGTTGATGTCATATTGCAGGATGATGAGTTTCTAGAGATCAACAAATCCAGGAGAGGACCCAGTTGGAAAATGATGGGGGAGTGATGTCAATGGATATTAAGGTATAGAATATGGTACATGAGGGGGTTCATGCTAGATGGCCTCTATTTTCTCAGTAAGATGTGAGGCAAAGTCTTTTGTGGATGGGGAGTGGAGAAGAGGTGGTATAGGTGTCTTGATGTAAGAAGAGAAAGTGTGAAACAGCTGCTTTTAGGAGTGTGATAGAGAATAATAAAAAGATACCTGTGCAACAGTGAGAACCCACTTGAGATTAATATATAACTTTATTGTAGACCTAGTTGACACTGGCATGTGATTTCTTCTGGCAACCTTAAGTAGTACCTGAGGAAGAGAGGAGGAGATAGGTGGTGGGGAGTGACCTGGGATTGGGTTTTGGAAAGGCACCAGCAGAGCAAGGTAAAGGGTACTATTCTTCAAGAGTTTTCTTTAATTATAGGATCAAGATTGTGAAGGGAGAAAAGTGAGGCCAAAACAGGGATGTGGACCCAAGAAAGATTAGGAAGAGATAGAATAACTAAAAATCATGGTGAGGAAAAAGAATAGATGTAGAAGCAGTGAGGCACAGGAAGATGTGGAAATTTAGGAGGTTATTGTCAGAATAGTTTAGGAATTGTGGGTCAGATTTGAATATTTATGAGTAATAGTGAGAATAAGGTTATGACCATCCCTATGTGTGTCTGGGGTGGAGTGAAAGGTCAAGTCATGGGAATTGACCTAGGAGACCAGTATGTTTGAACTGACACCAATCTGTATATTAAAGTCTCCAACTATAAAGAAGGTGAGATGGAGAGGAAGACTGAAAGCCAGTTATTGAATACTGTGAGGAAGGAAGGACAGTAACCTGGAGATAACTGCTGTCAGAGTGTGGTTTGAGTTATATTTCAATGGAGGAAACCTAGTGGAAGAGGGAGAGACTGGAGGTGGCCATAGGGAGTCAGGAATATGATTTCTCTCTTCGCCCAACAAATTGGGGCTACATGATTTAGTACTAAAGAGGGTGGCTGGGGATACAGTGTCTTCCAGAGGAATTAAAGTTTTGGTGAATGCAAATAGAGTAGAAAAAAGTCTAAGGTAAGGAAGTTTTGTTAACCATAGTATAGGAGTTTCAGAGGGCACAAAGGAGGAAAGAAGAACCAGACTGAAACATTGAAGGAGTAGAGTTGAGATGGGTGCAGAGTGAGAGATTTGGTAAGTGGTACCAGAGGAAAGGTTTTTTTGTTTTGGTTCATTTTGCTTTATTTATTTGTTTTTGGCTAGACAACCTACCACTGGTTCACTAGGTTTTGGGGAGCAAGAGTAGGAGTTTTTTAGCCATAAGATATATCACTATTTGATTGGGGCCTACTCTTAGATAAAGACCTGATGGCAAGAGGTCAGGTTTCTGAGACTCTCTAGTCCTGGTCAAGGTTCTGGAAATGAGAGTCTATTGTCTGGGACTCTAGTAATACAGGTGAGAAGCCTGGTAAACTTAAGTTCTAATTAGTTCAAGAAATGAATCTCATGCAGTGGTGGTATGTATTCGAATTCACACTGTTCGACAGTATAATTAGGTAGGATAAGATAATTGGTTCCAGGTCTATAGAAGTATGCAGTGTAAATTCAAATAATGTGACCCCTTGTGATTCATTATTTTTAAAGGGATCCAGCTATATTGGAGGCTGAGATCCTAGGTCCCTGGAGGAGTTCTAGACATAAATTGCCATTTCTTCCCCATGCTATTCTTTTTCAGTGTACTCTAAAAATAAACAAAAAATTAAATGCAGCCTTTTGCATTTGTCCCTATCAGATTTT